AATCCGACTCAGCGGTTCTGCAGAACCCCACTGTGTCGTTGAGGGTAGCGTTGGACTACTCGTTTCTAAATGCTCGAACCTCGATTCGACACACTGACTGCGAAACTTGGAAACTCGACTCCAGTGTCGAGCGAACAAAGTAGCAATATCAAGAACGAACGAAGGAAGAGAAGAGATGAGGGATTCATAATTTCGTCCCAAGTTCAGTAAATGTGTCTTTGTACAGAATGCGGTGTTAGGGCTGCGAATTGTATGCGTTGTATGATTGTATGCGTTGAATGATTGTATGCACTGTATGTATGTATTGTATGATCGTATGCATTTAACGTATTGCATGATTGTATGGATGGATGGTACGTAATGTAAGCCCCGGGGCGGGTCTCGTGCGTAGTCACCTCCACGTGGTGAGACCTGGTAATCGATATCGTTTTAGAAACATTAAAGTTGTAAAACATTATCCAGCTAAACTGTAAAACGATGTAAGGTAAATTTTGGTGTTTGTAAAACGATATCAAGCTAAGAACTACGCTTAGATTTAAACTGAACTATAGGAACATTTAGTTGATAAGTAAAATATTAGACCCCCCCAGCGGGGCACCGTGGGACGACGAGGGATCTCGCAGGGACGTCGTGGGATGCGTGCGCTTAGATTTAATTTGCGTGCGTTTAGTTTTAGTTTAGTTAATTTAGTTAATCTCTGTGAATCCATTGTGAACGCATTCTGTACAAAGACACGTTTATTCAACTTGAGACGAAATTAGGAATCGTCCGAAAGGCACACTGACTGAGAAACTTGGAAACTCGGCTCCAATGGAACGGAAAAAGTAACAACAGCAACAACGAACGAAGGAAGAGAGAGATGAGGGACTCCTAACTTCGTCCCAAGTTCAGTAAACGTGGCTTTGTACAGAATGCGGTGACAGGGCTGCAAATTGTTGTATGTGTTGTATGATTATATGCATTGTACGTATTGTATGAATGCGTGCATTTGGTTTTAGTTGATCTCTGTAAATTCATTGTGAACGCGTACTGTACCAAGACAATTTATTGAACTTGGGACGAAATTGGGAATCCCTCATCTCCTCTCTTCTTTCGTTCGTTGTTACTACTGTTACTTTGTTCGTCGCACTAGAGTCGAATCTCCAAGTTTCGCAGTCAGTGTGACGAATGCAATATCCACTACGTATACAATCATCTATGCTACATTGCAACAGGGAAAGTTATCGACCTCCATCAAGTAGATACTGAGAATCTCAAGGTGGAAGTGAACGCCGTGTAAAATTTCTTAAACAACATAGAACATTTTATTTCTAGTGACACAGTGTTATTTGTGCTTAAATTTTAATAATGATAAAAATTGTAACTAATAATTTGAAATGTTTTTATTGTATAAATAGAATTTTACATTTGACTCCAATAGAAAGAAAACTATAGAAAACAAGATTTAAATATAACATAAGATTTAAATATAACATACTAAAGTACTTACGTTTTCAACTTTTGAAACATCATAAGATCTTTGGAGATTTAGGGGAAGTAGAGATGCAAATTTAAATTTAAAAATACATAAATCTAACACAAATCTAACAGCTATTGATTTATATTTTTACCTGAAAATTTCTGGATGATTTTTCTGGATAATAGTTTCTTCTTTGTAAGTGAGGTGTGCTTCCTTTCGCCATGCTTCCCGCTTAAAAATCGATCGTGAGAAATATCGATTACGTTCGAGAATCGTAAAAAGTATATTGCGTATTTCACCACAATGGCGCTGTGATCTTTAACTAATTTAAATCTAATGCGCGCGCATTTCGCACAAAATGTTAACTTGGAATAAAAAATAAAAAATTTTGGTCTAAATCAAATACACAAAATTCATGAGAAATTCTCAAAAAAGAACGAAAATATTCATATACTAAATAAAAAATTGTCAATACTTTAAACTATTATAATTTCATGAAAAATAGTTATAAAACAATTAATGATTTTATTTTAAAGAGTGAAGTCTTCACTTTAATAATCTTGAGTTTATTTTTATATTTTTATATAGCTCGCCTGTGCTGTGTAATAACATATAAATTAGTTATATGCTGGAACAAATATATTCCGAGAACATGTACGCACGCGCGATGCACGTGCTTATGATATAGTAATGTTTCATTCACCCTCTGTTGATCACACTCTAATAATAGAACATTCCAAAAATCAGACGATATTAATATTAAAAAATCAGACAATAAAATATTTAAAAAAATCGAAACACGAGGTATAGGGATATCTTTATTTGGTTATATAAGACAAACATAGTAAGTAAGATAATGTCAGTATCTGTTCATTCCAGAGTTCACACTGTATCTATAGCTACTTGTAATTTATTGCAGTTTAGGAGTAAAAGTGACTCTCTGTGAAATCATGACTCAAAGATCGAATTCTGTAGACATTCAGGATCTACAAGATATACAAACACCCTTTGGAATACCATTATCAGGAATCTATAAAAGGTAAATCAAATATTTTACCTCTATTTAACCTAAGAATAAAGATATTTTGAAACTTAACATATTTTATATTTTTTATAGGAGTTTTGCCTATATAACAATTAAAGATAGATTACCAGTAATTTTAACTAAAATAATTGATACTCTGAGTCGAAACAAGGAAGATATTGCTGAGAAATATGGAGAGGTAAAATATATATTTGGAAATATAGTTGCTAAAATCTAAAATTTACATATAGCACGTGTAATTTTCAAACTGTTTAGAATGCAGTAGAAGAAGTTAAACAAATAACGGGATTTATCAGTAAATTAAAGAATGAAATAGGAACAAATAAAACTTTAAAACCTCTGCGATTACTATCTGATAGTAAAGACAACGATGCTGAAGAATGGAATAAATATTTAATAAAAAGAACTGAGATAGAGGGAGGAACACCAACATGGTTCAATACTGCTTGGCTATATTGTGAATGTTATATGTACCGGGCACTTGCACAAGAATTTGCCCTGTTGTAAGTACTAAGAAGAACTAATAGTTGATAGTATATAATATAAATATGTACAATTTACAGGAAATTTATGAAAGATTATGATCCTTTCGAACAGCAGAAGCAAAGCGCATTTATAAATTCACTAAGTAGCATAGAAGTACTTTCTGCTTATACTATAAACCTCATACATAAAGTAAAAAATCTGTCAGTAGCTGAAACCAAAGAAGAACTTTTTAAATTTCTTAAATCTAATCTCTGGGGTAACAAGTATGTTTCATTTTTTGCACTATATTACCTTATTTCTTATATATTATTCTATCATCAAATTTACTAGAATATGTTTTTTTTTTTAGATGTGATTTATCATTAAGTGCAGGAGCAGAAGTTAGTCAGAATAGTAATCCTATAGAAGTGTTAAAATCATTGGATAAAAATATTCTTGTAAATAATTTAGATTTTGTTTGGAATTTGCTACAAAAGAAAAACAGTAATGATATAAATATTATAGATATAATACTTGATAATGCAGGATATGAACTTTTTACTGATTTATGCCTAGCTGCATTCTTAATTGCAACTAAACTTGCTGAAAAAATCAGGTTTTATGTAAAACATTATCCATGGTATGTTAGTGATACAACAACAAATGATTTTAACTGGACTCTAACATACATGCAAAATTCACCAAATGAAAGTATACAAGAATTAGCTAATTACTTGAAAAATAATGTATGGACTATTGAGGTAATCTTAGTTATTTCCTTTTTTTTTTCTTGTTAATTTCAAATAATTATTACACAATGTCAATATTTTTTGTATATGTTATTTAGGAAGAACTATATTGGACAAGTCCTTATGACCTTGCAGAAATGAAAGAACATGACCCAACATTATATGCAAAATTATCAGAAGCTAAATTAGCAATATTCAAAGGTGATCTAAACTATAGAAAATTATTGGGTGATATAAATTGGGAATACACAACAGAATTTAAACAATCATTAAGAGGATTTCATCCTACACATATTTTAAGTTTGAGAACAGTAAAATCTGATGTTTGTGTTGGTCTAATACCCGGTATAGCAGAAGAATTATTCAAAAAAGATGAGAATTGGATGTTTACAGGAGAATACGGACTTATCCAAACTACAATAGCTGGAACTTGTCAATGTTCTAGTAAAATATCTTAAAATTCTATGAACCATCAGGTATTAGGAACATTGAATTATAAACAAATTTCAATGTGTTGCATATATTTTGTATTAAATGTGTACTATTCACAATTCTATTGCATTTCAACTACTGTATATTCAATGTACATAATTGATTGTACATATATGTGTATAATTTATTAATTTATATCTACAAATGTTACATATACAATCCAATTATTACAGTAATTAATGACTTTATATATGATTATTTAAATTGTAAAGTGTATGATTTAAACTATGAAAATAATTATCAAAAGCTATTTTATAATTATATCTCAGTAATTGCCTTTCTGAATTTCTATATACATATATATACATTTTGTACTATAATATTATAGTTTTTTAATTAAAATTTTCATACCACAAACTATTCTAAAACAAATATTCTAATTATAAATAAAAAACTGTACACACATAAATACAAAACATAAAATTTTATAAATTCTATTGCAAAAATTTAATCACGTCTTTTTTATTCGAAATTAAAATTCCTCAAAATCTATATAAACAATGATCATGAGTTTTTATATCTTCTCTTATAATGTGTAATACTTAAATTTGTGTAATACTTTTATATTTTTTCTTATAATGTGTAATACTTAAATAATAAATTATTACATTATCATTGTGTGCATGTGTGTGTGTGTGTGTATGTGTTTATTATTTTCTAATGATAATACACAATTAACATGCATCAAATGCATGTTTTAATATATTAATTTGTATTGTAAATTCATGTTAATGCAATTTACTATTTACTATTTATTAAAATCAAATAAAAATTATAATAACAATTTTAAAATAACAATTTTGATAAAAGAACACTAAATAGAAAACACAAAATAGAAAATACGCATTCTTTGCCAAATTTAATTTACTTCAAAATTTCAATAAGTACATAACAAAATGAGTAATCAATGTTGAAAATGTTTCAATTTCGTGAATCAATGTGAAAGTGTATCAATTTTGAAAATATATAATTTTTACAATCATGTAATATGTATTTAGAAATGCAAATTATTAAGAAAAGATATTATTCATAAGTATATTCATATGTATGAAGAAAAAAAATAATTGGTCAAAGATATTGAGATAATTCTCACAGAATATCAACATACATACCCATAACATTATATTATAGCAACTAATATAAAATATCAGTAATTAAAATAAATATATTATTATTAATTAGTATATTATTAATCATATATAATTTAATGATGAAAATCACGAATCAATTGTAATATATGTGTTCTTATAATTAAAGAATTATTTTAAGTTCATATATTTTCTCTGTCCTAAATTAGTTGTTACATTTGTATGTTTTATGTACCAAATATGATGACTAATTTGGGTCGGAGGGAGTATAAAATATGAAATATACTACGAAGTATACTATGAAAATTTGAAATGTTTCACAAGAAAATTCTATGTTTTACAAAAAAAGTACAAATTTAAAACATAAAAAACTCAAATTTAAAACATAAACATAGAATTATAAATATCAGATTTAGAATGTTTAGTGAATGATATATAAATTTGTATATAGTACCACATCCTAAAAGAATTTCTGAACATTCTACCAAGTGGCAGTAGAACTCTTAGTAATTATAATAAATATTTTAATTTGTATTTACACGTCAATATATAATATTCATAAATTAAATTTTGAGTTTATAGAAGCATTAGTATAGATATTGTTGTAAATGCTACAAATGTTTAATATTTATAAAATGAGCTTGTCCAGCAAGTTCCTTCTTAAATTATCTTTTTAAGCGAATTTTTTTAATAATATGCAAATATAAAATTATGATATTTATTGACCATTTGTTGTATTACAAGAAATTTAACAATAGCTCATACTTCTTAAATCTCTTTCAGTAAATATTTTTTATTTGGGATGCAGTATAATAGTATTCCAATATTGCAATAACATAATAAAGGAATCTATATTTATAACTTTATGATACTAAGGCAGCGATATTAAGAGATTTTAGAATATCTATTTTTTGTAGCTCTTGTTTATTATTTTTGAGATTTATGTGTCCATATATATTATAAATATATATAGACAAAAATAAATTTACTGTTCTATAATACATGTTATTTAAACACATAATTTTATGTTATATAAACTTATATAGGGAACTCCTCAACATTATGAACAATCAAAATATTTTTAGATCGAATATAAAAATTCAATTCAATATATATAGGATGATGTCCAAGAAATATTAATCAAAGATTACATAACATGCTCTTTTAAGGAAATCTATGCTATTAAATTAGATAAATTATTCTTAAAGCTCTAACTCTATAAGTACAAAATTTTCAACTACCATTAAAGCAATAAAAAATACAAATATATATTTAAAACAGTTTTACTCTCTTCTGATGTAAATACTAAAATTGATTCTTATGTGTATTTAAAAAATAGGAAGCTAAAGTATATAATTTTTAAATAAAAAGTAACAATACAAAACTTACATATTCAAATCAATATGATCAGCTCAAATAATAATATACCTTCTATTACAAAGGTTAATATATTTCCACAAACATAATTTGTGAACTAAATACTCAGAAATGCCATTACATTACATCAGAAATGCCAACTACACACTAAACATATTACAAATGTTCGATATTCACAATGAATAAAACTTTGAGACCGACTATTAAGCAGCTGCGTAAATTTATGAATTTATTAAAGACATATCTATAATACACGAAAAAATAGATTAAAAATGAAATAAATGAATTATTCTTTATATTTTGATTATTCAAAACATCTCTTATAAAATATGTGTGTCCGAAAAAGGAAATTACTTTATGCGACTATACAAGTATTTTAAAGATTAAATATTTCTTGATCATCCCATACACGCTTGAAAATTTGTAGATGATAGTATATGTTACTGACATTTACTTACATTTTTCCACTTTAATGAAAAAGTAACGATTGTTATTTTTGAAAATTTCCGTGTCCATTTTTTATTTTGTTTGTCTTTCTTGTACTCACAAAGTGATTTACTAATTATAACAAACTTCCCACTTCATATTTTCTCTACTTACATATCACATAGTATAATATTAATGGTAGCAATGGTATATGAGATAAATTAGTAACAAAATTTATCGAAAACATACACACGTATGTATCGCATATTAATTAAAAGCGTATTAAGTTCGACGCATTCAATTCGTTTATTACTCTCAAACTGTTCCCGCGTTATATTTGACCATAAATCATAGCGACACATCGAGAAATATTTAAGTGGGATCGAAATGACGTTCATAAAGTAATATTTTTGATATCTGAGTACTTTACTGCCACCTAGTGAAGCTATATGTGTACACTAGTTTAAAAACAAAAACGGATTTGGGAAGTATAAACCTACTATAATCCAGTTTTGTATAAAGAAGACGTAAAGAAACGGTAAAAATTCGTCGTCAATGTCATAACTGTGCAAAGAATTACTTTCATCGCTTTAACATTTAGATTGCTAGCAGAAATGTGACACAATTTGACAATTGAATACCGGCCACATAATTATCGTGTCTATAAACATATTCGCAGTCCATGTGCAGACACAATAGACATAGAGAAGATATGGGACAAAACTCAGCACAGTACGATCTTTTGTTCCTGAGTTGACATGGCACTACCCCACACGCAAAGTACTCATTCATACCTTAAATTTTGTTATTCTTTTTTTTTATAATATTTAAATATGAACATTCATAATTCAGCTATCAAATGTATTAAATAACAATAATGGAAATGACTAATACTCTAAGTCTGCTTTACACAGTCGGATTCAAGGTATTTGGTCTGAATTGTATGATGATTAACAATATTTGCAACTACTCCATTTCAGATTGCAACAAAAATTTCTGTAAAATTGATAGTCCCAAGTATTTATACTAGTACCCAGTATTTGCTTTATACACTTGTAATTTTTTAAAGGACTGTTACTTAGTGAATGCAGCAAATACCGCCCATAGAACTGGATTAGCATTAGGTTTAGCAGCTTCTGCTTCAAAGTCAAGGTCCAATAATGTTCGTACTCGTCGCATTGCTACTTCATAATCGTCATCTGAGAGCGGCGCAAACGCATTTTCTAATACATCAGCTGCATGAGCTAAAATAACTAAAGCTAATGTTCGCCTATCCATACGACCAGCATCATTGACCCAACGGCTTAATACAGCTTCTTGAATCTGGGAAATATAAAAAATACAACTTTTATATTTAAGTTTTCAATCTAAAGAATCTTTTCAAGATTCAAATTTTTATAACTTTTACAAGTTTTTATAACTTTCAAAAACTAAAAATAGAAATTTAAAAATATAGTAATTTACCTTTTTTACAAGTCGACTTTTGGCAAGATTATCAGTAAGAGGATGAGTTGTCATATCAAAGAGTAAGAAATTCTGTTTCTCGGTTGTCAAAACTCCTTTTTCAACAAGATTTTTAGCTAGTCTTTCTCTAACATTTTTCAACTGATATCTTAATTTTAGTGGATTCCATGTTTCTCCTAAATGAGGTAATATATTTTAAATATCCCAAATAACTGTATCGTAAGGAATTGATTATCAAATAAATATGTTTTCATATTAAACTAACCACTAAGATATTCAATCCAACTAGGAACAGTTTCAGGTGGATCAGTTTCTTTTAAATGTTTCAGAGCTTCATCTAATAAAACATCTCCTGTAGGAGCGTCATTTTTCAATAGAAGTTTCCTCACCAGTAATCCTTTTTTGCGCATACCAGCTTTCTCTAATTCTACTCGACCACGAAATCCAAGTTCTGCTAAAATACAACCACGTAAACCTGAACTTATGCAATCATTCCAAAATGACGTATAACCCTGTAACAAGATATATATTTTAAAACTCAGGTACTAATTTTTAAAACAATACATTTTACTCTATGTGAGACAGTAAAAAACTATATACAGGGTTAAGGACAATAGTGTCAACAAACCTCTTTGTCTTTCAGGCCAAGTAACAAAACTTCTTCCATGAGTGTCAATCTTGTTTCCTTATCAGAATCATCGTCGATTTTGGGATTTGAATTAAGATCTTTTTGCATGGTACAGTCTGTATCCATACCATGGCCAGATAATTTATCATTATGGCCAATATCGTTGGAACCATCCTGGCCTAGACTGCTACCACTACTGCTATTAACAACACGTCGTCGTTGTACCAATCCGTCAGTGCGATTCATCATTCGATGAAGCTGTGCTTCTTTTACGATTACGTCCGCGTGTCAAATACGCCACCGTGTCGCTTTTACTTCTGATGATTAGGTGTGTAGTCAATCGTAGTTAAAACAAGCTGGCGGCATGTATTGAACAATACACACTATATTGTTGACGTTTTAACAAATATGACATATCTTTCCAAGATGGCCAATCTTACGAACGTCGTTATTTTGTTCCAGTATTATCTATTTTTTATATTACCCTCGTATTATACACAATTAAGAACAAGTCTGTATACGTTGTGCGTAACACTATCGTTCTGAGCGTAGTTCGTTGTTTCGGCGATACATTTACCTCGGCGCTAATGTTTTCAGAAAGAAACCTATCGCAGTTCAATCGAGGACCTCACATTTATGGAGCCTAGGACGCGAATCGCGTACCGTGTATTACGATTGTATAGAATGTTCACTCAATCTGGCGAGAGATATTCTCGCTCGGTCGGTAGTTGTACTTGCGATCGTCGCGCCAAATTTTCCGTAATACTTGTGGCAACAGTTCAAAAACTGTGTGTACATACATATCTTATCATGAACCTTGCTTGTTTCGCGCGCAAAAGTTCGTTTTAGCTGTTTCTTCAAAGATGAATGTTTCTTCAAACATGAATTTTAACAGTTAGAATTATTATTTATATTATATATTTTCTCAAATCTTATCATTGTATTCAATGTATTATTGAATTCGTCTAATTCGCATAATTTGAAAGAAATCATCTTCAGTGTGTTTATCTTCAGAATATTTATCAATATATATTAATATTAATTAGTACAAGTATGAACGATTAATAATTAAATATGTGTGTTTTCAGGAAAGTGTTAAATTAAAAGATTTATTAATTGGTCTTCATCCGATTTAAAAATAAAATAAATTGTAAGTACTATTATCTTTTATTTTCCTTATTTGTGTCATTCTTTTTATAAAAAGAAGACAATAATACCAAAATAGGTTAACTTCATTATAGGTTAATTACCGTAACATTTACAAAGGAAAAATTTAACCTTACAAATGTTGGAAATGTGATTATATGATACATAACTTCGCCAACAATAAGTTTTCCGGTAAGTGAACTTTTTCTATACACTATAAAGAACACAACGAAACGATTTCGAATTTCGAACATTCGTCAAATAACGGAATAACGTAACCCGGATAGATGCGTATCTTTTTGTGTTACATTCAATGTAGTAACCGTAGTTCTATTTTATCGTAACATTTGCGTCCATAACTCGTGATTATCCTCGCAAAGAATTCGCAGCAAAATACCAATACCTGAATGAAGAATACCTTTTTCACATTATAAATTATACTCCAACAACATAAAGTACCATTCATGGCACATCTAATAGAGAATAACTGAACTGACGTAGTATATCACCATTTTATCAGATGCGCGTTTTTTTTTTTAACCGCGGTACATGGTGAAAACGATGTCACAGTCATCCGATGCAGCTGATAACTGCTGCTGTCTGATAACGTAGATATAGTATGAACGTTAAAAGACCAGAGGGTGTATCATATATTTTAGCATGCATATATTTTCGCTACCTCTTTTCGATGAAAAACGCTTACACACAGTCAGAACAATAAAGGAACAATGCTCGTCACAATCTGGTCCCGCGAATTTACTCACAAGACCAGTAACATATAAGATAGACATGCTATAACGATTAATTTTTATTGCTTTTGAACAATAGAGCGAAACGAAAATTACAGCCCGCGAGGTCTCCTCTGTCATTTCACAGCAAACTTTCACAGTTAAACGTATCCTCGAAAAGTACTAGTAAAATGATACGCATTCTCTTACGTCGTATATCTTCATAACTCGATAATGCGTGGAGCTTTGTACAAACATTACAAATGTCCTGAGGTAAATTCAGAAGTATGAATATATGATTGACAAATGAATTAAAAAGATATTCAAACTGATATGGCTGTAAATTACAGTATATACGTAAATTATAAGAAATTTATAATTATTTCTATTACTTATTTTTTGTGACATTACTTCGTATCCACTTTGTATCATTTATATTCAACCCGTAACTTCAACCTGCATGTTGGGCTACCTATCGCATTGGTGAATCGTTTTGTATTCAAGCGAAGTGAGAGTAATCACTGTTTTATCGGGGTTAGTGACACTACGAAGTCGATCATGGTGTACTTACAACGATATTGAGCTTAATGACCATTTCCCGCTACTCAATGTCAACTGTTCAATGTCGCTGGCCATATTTGCATGAAGCGGGTACCAAAAAGTATAAATATAACGATAATACACACACACACACTTGATTTATGTCAAAGATACTTATATATTCACGTTTTGGCAAACTAAAAACCTATATTTATACGGTGTTATTAATTTGTTTTTAATATAAAAAATAATAATGTGTTCATTTTAAAACAATTTTAAGAAAAGAGAAAAGGTAATTACAATTGATGATTTTG